ACTAAGAGCTCTTTGTCATTGCACATTCGCACTCCTCTGCTACATCGGCCTCACCAGATTTTTTGGAGTTTTGCTCTTCAGCTTCTCTCTTAATTTTATTCTATAACTTGTAACATTCCGATTTAACATGACATTTCTTTTTACAAAAGTGAAAAGTTTTATCTCGATTTAAAGATTTTGATTTGCCCTTTTTTTCATTACTATAAGAACGCTCGCCTTTTCTTTCATGGTCTAAGCTAGTTGATACATGCACCACGAGACCCTCTGTATAAGGCTCGAAACCAGATACAAGATGGTTTATCTTGTCAAACGAGTGTAGGCCTGTAAATCTCTTCAAGAGTGAGTGCTTCACGATTGTACAATATTATGTCTGTGAAAGATGAGTAAGAAGGAGGCATTGAACACGAGATGATCAATTGTAAATCTTCTTAACCATACTTCACTTCTAAAGTCTATAGATCAAAGACAATTTCCCTGACTGCAGTCAGGTGCTCTTCAAGGGAAGTACCTTTCACCAATTTGAGCAAATAAAGACGTTATTTTAAGTGTAACTTGTTAGTCAACGATTTCTTCATACATAGTTGCTCCAATTTTGCCCCAATGAAGTAGCCACTTTATTTTGGATAAATTTCTCTCTTATATTATCCAATAAGCAGTATAAAAATACTCACTGCTACAACCAATACAGACAGCCAAACCAGAACAACCTCCTAGGGAGTGCTAATCCCCCAAGCTAGACAAAGATTACAGTTAACATCATTATTCTTAATAGCTATTCTAGCAGCCTTTATCCTAATTACATCCTTAATGCAATTGATCACAATATCAATCTCCCTGTGTATGCCCCTAAACTGCCTATGATTCCTCTCTTCCCATATACAGTATATATATGCACACCAGGCTAATCTAAGAATAAGCGAATGAAAAGTTTTACCTCTGAACCGAGATATCGCCCAGTTCAGCTCCTCCTCCCAATTTCCCACAGTTCTATCAATGCTACACAACCGCATAATCCCTTCCCAAACAGCCTTCGAAAAAGGGCATTCAAAAAAGATATGGCTACGAGTCTCACATATAGCATCACACAATCTGCATTTATCGTTCACCTCAATCCTCAAACGAATCAACCTATCAGCAGTAGGCAACCTATCAAGAACAACCATCCAAGCAATAAGGGAGTGCTTGGGTATATGCATGAGAAACCATACAATTTTATGCCACCCAACCTTCTCCTTCCTCCCCCTAAACCCCTACCACAACCATCGAGCATTGACCTTGTCCCAATCCGTGATTCCTACAAATAGCGGATATACTTCCTCCATGTCTTTCAAAATTTTCCTCAAGCTCCAGTTGTACGAGGCTTTGCACTCCATAGACCAAAAATTAGCCCCTTTAAGAACATATGTCCTCACCCAAGCAACCCAAAGTGAGCCCTCAGCAGCAAGTATATCCTTAACCAGCAGCATTATACAAGCCTTGTTCCAACATTTCAAATTCTTAAGGCCCAGCCCCCCTCTGATTTAGGGGTGCAAATTACCTCCCAACTCACCCGAGCCCCCTTAGCTGGAATATCTCCTTCCTTCCAAAAGAACCTAGCACAAAGTTGGTCCACTCTTCTAACCACAACAGCAGGAAGAATAAGTTACCTACACCAAAAATTGGCAATACTGAACAGAACTGCTTTCACCAGTTGTAACCTGCCAGCATAACTCAGCTATCTATTGGACCAAAGTCCAAGCTTAGCTTTAATTTTTTCCACCAGATTAACACAATCTTTCTCAGTTAATTTCCTGGGGACAAGAGGTACCCCTAAGTATCTCACAGGGAGGCAACCAATTTTGAATCCAATAACCTCATGCACCAAAGTCTTCTGATTACCATTGACACCATCAATAAAAATTTCAGTTTTGGAAGCATTAAGCCTCAGTCCAGATATCTCCTAGAACCTCTCCAAAACACATTTCACCCCAACAATAGAATCTAAACTTCCTTTGCAAAAGATAAGTAAATCATCAGCAAAGCATAAGTGAGTTAGGTTCACTTTTCTGCACTTAGGGTGAAATTGAATTTTTTTTTTCAGAGGTAGCAATGTCAAGCAGCTTGGAAAGGATGTTCATGGCTATCACAAGTAGCTGCTTTTTCTTTCAACATATCATGCAATATTTCATTTGATAAGTGTAAACGGAACTAAGATAAGGCTTTACAATCCTTACGCTTTTCTTCATTCGTCCAATTTGACAATGTCTTTTGGTGAAAACCCAAAAGGGAAAAACAACAGACATATGAGAAGAATTTCACTAATAGGAATGAAGAAAATACAAGATTATTTGGGTAGGGGAAAAAAACTTAATTTTAACTCTTACCCTTAATATCTATTTATAGGGATGAATACTTGATTACAAAGGAAAAATAAATAGAGTAGAAATATATTTTAATAAAGTTTATTTTTAATTAAACTAAAATTATTACTCTTCCAAATTTAAAATTTAATTTGTGTCACTTTAAATTCGAGTCAAACTTTAATAATTACAGTAGACCGGATCTCATGAGAAAATGAAGCCTGCAGGGGTGGTGTTTTGGTGTTACTAGAGCTGGTGCCAAATTTTCATGATTCGGTCCAGATTGAGTAACAGAAAGTGCAACTTTAGCTCTGCATTTTTTCTTGTCAGTAACCCCGAAAATGATATGATCGGCAGCATAACAGGCAGGAATTTTTGTCATGGTTGCGGTAGATTGAATCTCAGGAGAAAACAAAGCCTGCAAGTGTGGTGTTTTAGTGTTTCTCAAGTTAGTGTTCGATTTCTCATCATCCATGAACCTTCTCTTCGAATTACCATTGCCAGCAACAAGATGATTCAATGTAGAATAAGATGCATTCTTAGTAGCAGACATGGGAGTGAAATGAAGCTCCCCAGACTCCTCAGGCTGCTTCAACAAGTCTCCTGACACAGAATGCAACTCGATTAAAGGATCACAAATGGTAGGAGCTTCGGATGAAGTTGAAATTTTGGAAGATTGGGATCTCTTAACTCAGTTTAGTCTATTGGAAACGGAATCGGACAAATCATTTTCCTTCATGAAACGGAATGATTTGGAGTGAGGAAGATGCGAAACATGAGCCAATTTCGGTGTTCTAGTGTGACAACGACAATTCAAAGCTGTTTTACTAGTACTATTGAGTGATAGTAGCAGAAGAAGAGGATGGTGAAGAATAGTGAGAGAGGAAGAACCTGAGACGACCCTTTGGTGCATCAATTGAAGAAGATGAAAGATGACTATTGCTACTATGGATGGTGTTTTCAACAGCTTGGAAAGCTCTTCTAGAACCCTGCTATATATATATATATATATATATATATATATATATATATATTTATAAACTGACTTCATTTAAATTATTCATAATTTTCAAGAAGCCATTTCCAGGATCTCATTGTAGCTTACTCAAGCTAAATATTGATTACTGTAAGTGGATTGTAACTCACAGGATTTGAATGGATATTAGACAAATTGGAAGGATGTTCTTGCTTGGCATTCGACAGCAGCTGCTCTGATTTAGAAACACCATTTTCCCCTATTGCTTGAGCAGGTTTTGACTAAACAAACCTTAATGCAAAAGGCCACAAACATATTCAAAATTTATCACATCACAAATTTCATAGAGAAGAGAACATGAATACAGTGGTACCATAAAACATGAATTTGATGAAAAGTATGACAAGACATACCATATTGATCATGCACGGATGACGTGATGAAGCTGCTGTGAATAGAGGATCTGCAAACTCAAATCTGTCATCCGAATATGGAATGTAGGTGATCAAGTTTCGAGAGTAAACTCAGTTTCGCACAGAGAAATGGGAAAATTTTAACTCTTGATTTATTAGATAGATTATACCTTATTTATACGCGACTTTACTTGCAAGTAAAGTTACCACAAATAAAACCTTATTCATCTTAATTTAAACCTTGAAAAATAACTAATATATTAAAAATTATAAATATTAAAACGTATACGCATACGCATACATGTATATTAAAATTTTAGATTATAATAATTGTTACAAATAGAGATAAATAAAAATTCACATCTAATGAATTTTGATTTGATTACGAAATATAAGACTATTTTTTATTAATCTGGATAAGTACAAGACAATATCTTATACTCTTGGCATTCCTATTATTCTAACTCGGAACCTCAAGAAATAACAACAATTATTTTTACCACTAAGGTCACTCAGTACGTGTAATCAAATTTCTTTTTAAAATTAAATTTAAGATGAATTTTATGAAGGAAAGACTTAGAATTAGAGTGAAACTGAAATTAAGATAAAAAAATGATTTAACCTGAATAATTATTATAAAAATAATTTATATAATACTCTTTTATATATATTTTTAATTATCTCTTTTATCTTAACGAATAAAAAAGAAATAAAAAAGTATTCGAATAAAATGGATAAGTGAAATATCACCAAACATTCAAAGAGATGAGAATCAAATATAAACCTTTAATTTTTTTATGTCAAAATCGAAATCAATCCATCCCTAATTAAGAAAGAAAAATTAACTAAAGATTATTAATATTGTCAATGGTAAATAATGGAGAAAAATACGAATGGTGTATAATACTAAACGAATGGTGTATTAGTTTTAGAAAAATAATTAAAAAAGAAGAAGAAGCTGGCATTCATGCATATTCCATTCTTTCTGTTTCACTTTATTTTTCTCTATTCACCCAATTCTCCCCCTGGACATCTTTGGATTTGAATTCAAACTCGGCGGTGAATTATCGAATCCCACTTTCCAGATCTTTCATTTGATTTTTTTTTTGTTGATAATTTTCTGTTTGAAAATTATTGATTTAATTGTTGTTATATTATTATTACAGATTCATACAAACACAGAAGAAAAGGAATTTAATCTTAATATTTAGTAGATGACACGCCTTTTGATTTAGCTGATGTTTATTGGATTCTGTTTGTTTGTCTTCTTCTTTCTCAGATTTTTTCTCAAGCATTGTTTGTTGGATGATTTTGTGTTGGCTTCAAAGCGATGAGCGCTCAATTTACAAAGATTTCCTCAGGTATGCTTCAACATTTCATCAACAGTCATACCTGAATCTCAGAAACATAGCTCGAAATTATGGATCACAATCATGTTCCTCGTGTTCCGGATTTTCGAATATGATATAGGATATGGGATATGACTCTCCAAATGCATGGAAAAACTTGGAACAAGCTGAATATGCTTGCACCATAATTTAACATAGCCTAGAATTACAATTTTCAATCATTTTCTCTGTGTTTCTGCCGTGATCCGATACGTTGATACGACCCTCCAAATACATGGAAAAACTCGAAACAGATTAAATATGCTCGACTAGAAACATACACATATCTAACACTCATCCAAGTATTATAGCTGAGAACTATTGATCATTATCATGTTCTCCATGTCAAAATATGAGGAAGCACATAGGTTTGTGCTTTTGCAATGAGTTTTAATAATTTGTGAATACGCTTTTCTTCAATAGTTTGTAAAATGACAAGTTTTGCAATTTACAGTATTTCATTTGTGGAAGTTTTACATATTGGATGTGCATCATGCACAGCGAATTCCGTTGAAAATCGTTCATTTTTTTTTCTTGAAATATTCGAATCTGTATTTTTTCGGATACGAATATCTGCCTCAGATACGCATTCATTTTCGACAGTTCATCAGAATCCAAGTAACATACCAGTGAATCATCAATCATAATCACGTCCTCTTAATGTAAATTGTGTACTCAAGTTTGTAGAAAATGTCTGTTTTGCAGCCCATAATAGAAGACTGAGGAACTTATTGAATCAAAGCGATAACCGCATTTGTGCGGATTGTAGTGCTCTGGATCCGAAATGGGCGTAAGCTTTAGAATTACAACATTATAACAAGCATTTTCTTGTATGTAAAGTTGTTTGTTGATTCAGAAAGTAATACTCGGATTCTACTTTTCAGATCGACAAATATCGGAGTCTTTATATGCGGGGAATGTTGCGACGTGCACAAAAGCCTGGGTACGCACGTCTCCAAGGTGACTACTTTAGGCCACATCTAATCTATTGTTGTATATATTATGCTGTTAAATAACCGGGTAGGACCAGTCAGAAGAACAGATAAAAGGCCTGGCCTGAAACCAGAAAAAGAAAGTCGGATAATCGACAGATTGGCCGAAACCGAGAACTGAAAAAACCAACAAACATGACTCTTTGTTTGGCTCTTGTTTACCTTTTGTGATGATTTCAGGTTATGTCAGTGTCATTGGATGAATGGACAATTGAACAAATTGACGCGGTGGCCGAAGTCGGAGGAAATTCGACGGCTAATGCAATCTACGAGGCCCATATACCCGAAGGTTATTCGAAGCCGGGTCCAAATGCTAGTGTTGAGGAGAGGAATAAATTCATCAAGTATGTTAAATGTTTTCAAGTATGACTTTGTCCTGCTCTGTTTGGAGGATAATATCTCTATACTCCTAGTCCTGCATGCCAAACAAAGAAAATTAAGGAAAAGTAAAGAGTTGGAACAATATGTGTTCTATACCTTGTAGGCTTTGTTATTATAATTACTTATTTGTTATCCTTCTTCAGGTCCAAGTACGAAGATCAAGAATTTTCTAAACCGAGCTTGCGGATCTCTTCGGGGAAGAGTTCCTCTAACTCTTCATTTAAGATCTTTTCATCAAAGTTTATGGATAGTTTCCGATTAATTCCGGAACAGGTAAATTCATTTGATCTATGTGTCTTTTTCAATCTGCTTCATTTTCTCAGAACAATAAGAAGATCACGGAACTCATGATTATTGGAAAAAAAATCGGGAAACTGAAAATTTATTCGAACCATGTGGATTCGTTTTGGTTTATTCATTTCGATTCGGTTAGAATTCAAGAACCTCGAGAGAAATTTGATTGGCTATATGGTGATAAATTTAATCAATTTGAATCCCTTTGACGTGGTAACAGGAAGGCATGGTGGAATTTATCGGTTTATTGAAGGTCACAGTGTTGAGAGGCTCGAATTTAGCCATCCGGGATATGATGACAAGTGATCCTTATGTTGTCTTAACTCTCGGGCAACAGGTTCGTCGCTTATATTTTCTATGTTTCTCTGATTTGGATGTGCATGTCAAATACATATATGTATGTATGTATGTATCCATGTATATTCGGAAGATCATGTCAAATACTATTTTACTAACGATAAGCATTGGGTATTTGATCTTTGTTAGACCATACAAACAGGCGTCGTACCCAGCAGCTTGAATCCGATATGGAATGAGGATCTCATGCTATCTGTTCCTAGCAATTATGGGCCTCTGAAATTGGTAAGTAGCTCGTATATTCGGAGTGTTTTCAAAAGAATCATATCCTTATGTTTGGATAAGTAGGTGTTGAACACTAATACTGTTTATATGAGTTCTCTCTGTCATGTTAAGCATGATCATGATACGTTGGTCTGATCCGATGAATTCGGGCGTTGTAGGAAGTATATGATCACGACACGTTCTCGGCCGACGACATAATGGGAGATGCCTCGATCGATATCCAACCCCTGATATCAGCCGCAATGGCATACGGAGACCCGGAAATGTTCGAGAATATGCAGATAGGGAAATGGTTGAAAACTGCGGACAATGGGCTTTTGGAGGACAGCATCATTAACATTGTCGATGGGAAGGTGAAACAGTACGTGCAGTTGAAGCTCCAAAATGTTGAGAGTGGAGAAATTTATCTAGATGTGGAATGGCTGCCCCTTGACCAGTAAGTTTGAATTATATAATTTATTATTCTATTGTTTGTTGAGATATCGGTAATTATTTCCCAAAATTCATGTACTTGTATCGTGTTTATATATTTTTATATCACAATCATTATCCATTAATATAACTTTTGACAGGACATAAATTATTTAGATTTTAACATATTTATATATTTCAATATCTGTGCCTTTTTACTCCATGCTTTAATTCTTTATTGTCGTATTTGCAGTGTGTAATTATATCGTGTTATCACTGTTAAACCCACGTTATATGTAGAGTAGAAATGACAGCAGGTACTAATATCTATCATTTTTAAATTATCTAAATTTGTAAATTTATCTAAAAATTAAATTCGTTTTTTGTCCATAAATTATTTATATTTATCATCAAATTTAAATTAAATATTATTATCTATCAGATATTTGAATTATCGTTGTACATTACTTATCAGAGATGGCCGTAAGAATTTGTGTAAAGAAAGTAAACATACAAAATTATATTGAAACTTTAACGAGTGTGAGGTTATAAAATTTTAATGATATAAAATTAAATAATTTATTTAAAATATAAAAAAAAATTAAAATTTTCAAAAACACCGTCGGTCCATTTTGTCCATAATTCAAATAAGATTTATCAACATCTTAAATATTATTATGATATATTAGTAAAATCAGTTAAATTTAAACATTAAACATTATAACAAGTATACGATCATGACATGTTATCGGCCGGTGACATAATGGAAGAAGCCGGGATTGATATCCAGTCCATGATATTAACAGTTCAGCACATAAGGAGACCCAAAAATGATCGGGAATACGTAGATCGGAAAACTGTTGGAAATTCAACAACAATGCACTCATAGAAAACACCATCATTTACAACATTATAGGTGGGGAAACTGTCTCCAAGATTATGTCATATTGCCAGAAAATGTATGAAGTTTTCAAAATTAAATAAAAATCGAATTCAAATGAAAGTTTTATTTGAACTAGACTGAATTTTACTTTTAAAATTTAAGCTGAAATTACTTTTGCTTACTTGAACTCGTGAACTCCAAAAATCTAATCTCAATCCGTACCTAAAAGCTAGAGGGCAAACGGAATTAATGAGCTGTACTTCACTTTACGTCCCCCGCATCTATGAATCATAAGATCCAGCCACTTATGCTTCAAATTAAATTAACGATTTCATTATAAAAGAAAGCATCTAAAAATAATTTATAAATCTAATATTATTTAATAAGTTTAAATTATTAAAAATGAACTAGCAATATTATTACATAATAAAACCATAATTAGTTACTAATTGTGACTAAACTGTTGTTATTGTGGTCCTTAGTTAAAGGAGAAAACGATCTAATTTTAATAGCATAAATAAAAGCAGAAGCAGCTAACAATGCCACACCTGTGAAGCCGCAGATCAAGGTCCCCAACAGCAGCACGTGCCTCAGGTGATTGTTCCCCCGCCGGTTATCGTTCGCACTCCGCCACCACGAGTTATCGCTGGAATTCATGGCCTTCGGCAACGCCACCGTAGACGGCGTTGATGATGAGGTAGAGGAAGGCTTTGACGTTGATCCGAAGAAGGACATCATCTCCGGTTACTTGAGACCCGTCGGCGGTTGGCTTTGGTACTCCAGACCGTGATCCGAGGGGCGTAACTCCCTGGCCGTTGATTCCTTAATGATAATGACGACGGCGGCGGCGGTGATCAACTGTAGATACGCCGTCATTGAGGCAGAGCTTCTTCTTGAGTGAAAATTGTGAGACAGAGCCGGTTATAAACTTATAATTTCCCGAGTGATCGGCTCATTGGCCAATAAATACGTACGAAAATAAATAATTCTAGAAAAAAAATATTAAAATAACAATACGTCTCCAACTTATTATTCAAATTCTACATTTATCTTTTTAACTTTAAAACATTATAATTATGTACTCTAGCTCTTAGTATTGTATCAATATTAAATTCTTTCATTAATCTAGTAATCAATTTAAAATTAATTTTAACGTGGATTGCCTTCGTCAAAGTTTTTTATTATTATTTTTATCTGTATAACATATTTTTATCTACTTTTATGATACATTTTTCTATCTTTTAACAAATTTTTCGATCGTTTGGTTGTTTTTTATTTATCTCTTTTAAGAGTTGATTTGATATTACCACGACTAAGCAAGATAATGCTTATATGTTATATTGTTGATCTTAACTGCTTTGGACATTCGGATTGGATTTGAATACTTAATTTGCGTTCGTGGATAACTTTTTATGTCACTCGGGTCTGATTTGTGATTTGTCGATTGTCTTTCAATAGTTTGATATTTTTTTATGGTTTTGTTTGTCGATACGATCATATTTGTTTGAGTTTTTTGTTTAAATTTTTAATCTTTTATTGTATGGTCCTTATATGATCTTAAGTTGCTAGATTTCGTTTTAATAATTATAAAAAATTATCCTAATTATATGCTTAATTTATAATTATAATTATAAATCTTCATTGTAATTTAGACTACTACTTATTTTTAATAAAATTAGTAGTTTTTACAAAAAAAATATTTTAAGGTTAAGTGACAATTCGAATATGATGTCTTATCTTTTAAAAACATATGGATTATACGTAGTATATAGAAAATTTAGAGTTTTTTTCATTTAGAGAAAAATCAAGAGACAAAAAAGAATGGGTTTATTTTGAAATTTTTTAATCTTTATATAATTTATTTTTTATTCATGTCTTAAATTTTTTATATATATTTTAGAAAATTATTAACATAAAATTATATGTGTTTCGATTTTTATTCGAATATACTATTATTTAATTAAATATGAAAATAACGTTCATCTCAAATTATATATGTGATATAACATTACTTGTTCTTTTATACCATTAAAATAATTTAAGTACCTAAACTTTTTTAATAAAATGTTCAAACTAATGTAATTATTTTTATATTAAGCTTAAATAATATGTGATAAAATTGTTTTGATAATATAAAAAAGTGTTTAAATTATATCTATTTTCTTATTTATGTGTTTAAATTTTTTTTAAGTCAATATAAATATCTAACGTTACAAACGTTATCATTTTAAATGTTTAGTCCGTAACGAGGTTAAAAAAATCTCTAGAAATTAGTCAACTAATGAATATTTGACATGTGATCTAATTTTCTATATTTTCTGATTTTAAAAAAATAAAAATAATCAAATTTTTTCTATTTTTCACAAAACACCCAAAAAAATATTAAACCTTCAAATACCCTCCTCAATCATTTAATCTAAAGACTATTATTATCGTCTATTGTCACCACTATTGATGAATATATTCAGTTACCGTCGACGGAATCCACTACCGGTCCGGTCCTCTTTTTTATGGTCTACATCAAATGCATTGAATTCCGTACAATCTGAATCAAAGAGGACATGTAAAGGAGAAGTTCAAAATAAAATCAGAGTGGATCTGTGGTAAAACAGAACCTTCGAAAGTAGGGTAACTTGTGCTCTGCCGTCATTTCGAATTTCCAACCAAAAAAAAAAAGAAAAGTTCAATTTTATTCAATCATTTTTTGAAGCATATAGTTTATAGTATGAGGAAAACCAGGGGCGGGGAGGGATGTTTAAGTAAAGATAATTTAATATAAGGTTAAGAAAATACGTTATTAGAAATTTTATATTTTTTTAATAATGTTGGTATAACGCTATTTAAAATATTATTTTTTTCTATCGAAAATATTAATATTAGAAATATTTATTTTAGGTAGCGAAATTAATATTTTCAGTAGAAAAAATAATATTTTAGGTAGCGTTCTACCAAAAAATATTAATATTTATGGTAGCGTCTTTCCTTAACCTTATATTAGGCTGTCGTACAACAGAACTACCTAAGGGGAGGAGGGGACGAGGGGGAATGATTAATATTTTTTTAATGTTTTTTAAAATATTTTTATTTTTTAATTAATTTTTAAAATAATTTTTAATATATATATATATATATATATATATATAAACGTAACATGTATTAAATAATAATTTTTTAACTATACATAATATTTAAAATGATAATGTTAGATACTTATATAGACCGAAAAAAATTTAAACACCTAAATGAAAAAAATTTATAATTTAAATGCTTTTATATTAAATCTAAATAAAATAATTAAATATATAAAATATAAAATAAAAAGAGAAAGGAGATGTTTTCTGCCATGTTAAATAAACAACTAACGAACAATCATTACGATTGTTTTCTTCTCTTTACTTTACCTTTTATATATTCCTAATTAAAAGTGATTAATGGTCGCTGGATTAATAAGACGTTTTTTTTCGAAATATCACCGGTGATCGATATATTTATCGATCTAACATCGGTCAGATTATATTTCTTGATTTAATACACGTAGTAGTAAAGTGCACCCCCTGACCCGCGCAATATGTTGATTTGGCGCCACGTGGGGTATAGCGCGCCCCCTGCACGGCGCTATACGCTAACTGGGTTACACGTGGCTATAGCGCGCGCCCTGCTCCGCACTATACCTATTTATCTGACACGTGGGGTATAGCGCGGTGCAGGGGCACATTATAGCTTTAATTACCCGGCCGTTCACACCTCAACCATTCCCTATAAATATCTCATCCTCAATCGCTTTCATCACACCAAATTCTCTCAAATTCTCTTAAATACTCTCTCGTTTAAGGTATATTTTATAATATTTTTAATATTCTATATTTAATTTATTTAAGTATTTTACTTTATTTAATATTTTACTAATATAAATTTTTTGCAAATATATAATGGAAGGCGATCTACTTCGCTTAGATGGAAATCATATATCTCGACATTTTGCTGGTACGGTAACATTTTAACGTTTTAATTTAATTTAAATTATTAGTAATAATTTGTTGATTTATTTAATGCATGATTATTAGATTAAGAATTAATTTTTGTAATTATTTATTTTTAGGAGAATGACCGTATATTGGATCTTTTATTAGGAATATTAAGTTAGTGATACCTAGCCGTGTTTTGTCGTATTTAGTAGAGGCTGGATTTAGTTA